CGCCCAGCCCCCCCACCTAATCCCCCCCCCCCATGTCCCACAGCATGAGAAGCTAGGGGACGTCTGCTTCTCCCTGCGCTACGTGCCCACGGCCGGGAAACTCACCGTCATCGTGCTGGAAGCCAAGAACCTGAAGAAGATGGATGTGGGGGGGCTGTCAGGTGAGACACAGGGCTGCGAACTTCCCCCTAGCGGTGCCACAGCTGGGTACCCCAGTGCTGCAAACTTCCCTACAGTGGTGCCCCAGACGGGCACCTTAGTGCTGCAAGCCTCCCCCGTAGCAGTGCCCCAGCCACATTCCCCAGTGCTGTGATCTTCCCCACAGCAGTGCCCCACCTAGGGAATGCCAGGGCTGTGTGCTTCCTTCCAGCAGTGCCCCAGCCAAGGCCCGTCTCTGCCCCCAGTGAGTCAGGCTGGGTGTCCATGTGGTCGGGCTCCATTGACACCCCGGCCTTGGGTCCCAACAAACTCCTGGGGGTGCTTGAGCCGGCGGGGGCCAGGAATTATGGGCCAGATCCCCAGACTGGCCTAGCTTGGGGGCAGGGTCTTACTCATCTGAGAGGGCTTGGACCAGAGTGGGTTAGCGCACGGACAACTCAGTCTGCAGTCGGGGGGCTGGGAAGCCATGGGTGGGGGTGACATACCCCCAGCCCAGCTGGCCTCTGGGGTCTCTGTTCTGAATGTCTCCCCTCCTCCCCCAGATCCCTACGTGAAAATCCACCTGATGCAGGGAGGGAAGCGGCTGAAGAAGAAGAAAACGACCATTAAGAAAAACACGCTGAACCCCTATTACAACGAGTCCTTCAGCTTCGAGGTCCCCTTCGAGCAGATCCAGGTGAGTCCAGCCCTGCACCCCAATGCTGGGCTGGCCGGGAGCACTGCTGCAGGGAAGCTCGCAGCGTGGCATGGGATGCCCCTACGGGAAGCGAGCTCACCATGCGGCCTTTCCTTCCCCTCCACCCCCACCCCACAGAAAGTCCAGGTTGTCCTCACCGTCCTCGATTACGACAAGCTGGGCAAGAACGAGGCCATCGGGAAGGTCTTTGTGGGCTGCAACGCCACGGGGACGGAGCTGCGCCACTGGTCCGACATGCTGGCCAACCCCCGGCGCCCCATTGCTCAGTGGCACACCCTGCAGACGGAAGAGGAGGTCGACGCAGTCGTCGGCATGAAGACCTCCTGATGCCCCCTCTCCCTCCCATCCCGGCCTAGCCAGCGGGCAGTTGACCCATCTCCCGTCCTGAGCGAGTGGGACCGTGTGGGTGAGGCGCCTCTGGAGAATGCGTGCGGGGGTTGCCTGTGAGCCTGTTCCCTCTTTCAGAGCCGTTCCTGGTGAAACATCTTCGAGAAAACCTTCTGTTTCTGATTCGCTGTGTGAACCGTGAGGTTTGCGTTGTGTCGAGAAGCTGGTGAGAGGTTTGGTTTACTACAGGGTTACTACAGGGTTACTATTGGCTTACTATAGGTTTACTATGAGGTTGCTCACCGTACCTTTGCTATGGAGTTACCATGGAATTACTATGAGGTCACTATGGAGTTACAATAGGACTGCAGTAGGTTTACACATCATGTGCTGCCACATTTGAAAACTGGGTCTTGTATGTAAACCTATTGTAAATCTGTTCACTAATGTCCTACAAAAGGTTTCCTGTAGGGCGACTGTAGTTCACACAGGTGGACATCGTAGTACGGCAACACACGTAAAAGGAAGGCCTCGTAAATTTCTTGTAAATATGTAGAGGAGGCATCCTAAAAATGTCCCCCTTTGGATCTTGCACGTGTCCCATGTGAAACTGTAGTAGCTGTATTTACTATAGGTTCACAGTATACTTATATAGTTGTAATGTGTAGCACACTGCAACCTTTGAAAATTAAGCTTAATGTTGCCCTATTATAGATTTGATTCCCATATGTTTACTAATGGTTTACAACAGGTTCACTCTATAGTTACACTTAGTTTCACACATGGTAGGGTGCCATATTTTAAAACTATGTTTCATGTGTAATCTTGTTGTAAATCTATTAATAATAGCTCAATTATAGATAGGCTTATAGCTTTACAATGTATTTATTATAGGTTTCACAGAGGTATACTATGACTTTACTACAGATTCATGACAAGTTTCCTGTAGTTTTGTTGTGATCTTATGATAGGTCTAAGATAGGTTTACAACAGGTTTATTGGCATTTACAGCAGATTTATTATCATGTTACAAACATCACAAGTTTACAACAGGTTCACAGAGATCCACAACATGGCTTTGCAATTAGTTTACAAACATGTTTATTATTGGATTACAGCAGGTTCACTGTTAGTTTACAAACATGTTCACTAGGGGATTACAATAGGTTTATGGTTTTACAAACATATTTACTATAGGGTTGCAACAGGTTTAAGGCTTATGATGAGTTTACTGTGGGTTTATACAGGTTCACTATAGATATACACGATGTTTACAACAAGCTTTCTGTTAGTTTACAAACATGTTTTCTATAGTCTTACAACAGATTTTCTGTGTTTTACTACAGGCTTACTACGTGGGTTTACTACAGGTTAACTATAGACTTACATGTTTACTATAGGTATACAATGGATTCACTATGGGTTTACTGCAGGTTTACTACTGATTTACAAACATGTTTATTAGAGGCTTACAACAGGTTTACAATAAGCATACACAAGGGCCAACATTCAAAGACATATGCTTTGTTCGGATTCTTCTCCTTTGACCACGGCTCCGTGATGCACATTGGACAGGGCATTGAAACATCTTGCCAATGATTTCCTTGCAGCTTTACACGCCAGACCCAGCCTCCAAATGCAGCCTTTTTTGTACGGAAGGCCCCAAAGGGGACCCTCCCTTTAAGACAACAGTGCTAGAGCGTTTGGCTCCTGCTTTCCAAGGGCCCGGTTGCGTTAGTACCTGGCTCCGTTTCATTCACCTTCAATAGCATTTTGTTTCCGGCGGTTTGGCCGTTGGCTCCGCTTGTGCCAATGAAATCAGGCTGATCCGATTTCCACTAGGATGACCAGATAGCAAGTGTGACGAATCACGACATGGGAGGCCGAGTCATTGGTTCCTATGTGAGACAAAATCCTGGATGTTGGGGGTGTCCTTTTAAAATTGGGACATCTGCTCACTCTGCTTCCGCCTTTGGGAGGGGAGCGGGGTCTAGTGGTTAGAGCAGGGGGGGTGGAAGCCAGGACACCTGTGTTTTGTTCCCAGCTCTGGGAGAGCAGTGAGGATCTAGTGGTTAGAGCAGGGAGAGGGGATTCTTGATCCTCAAGATGGGGACCACCATTCAAGAGGGCGACCACTCAAGTTGGGGGCCACCATTCAAGAGGGCGACCACTCAAGATGGAGGCCAACATTCCAGAGGGCGACCACGCAAGATGGAGGCCACTATTCAAGAGAGCGACCACTCAAGATGGGGGCCACCATTCAAGAGGGCGACCACTCAAGATGGAGGCCACCATTCCAGAGCGCGACGCACTCAAGTTGGGGGCCACCATTCAAGAGGGCGACCACTCAAGATGGTGGCCACCATTCAAGAGGGCGACCACTCAAGTTGGGGGCCACCATTCAAGAGGGCGACCACTCAAGATGGTGGCCACCATTCAAGAGGGCGACCACTCAAGTTGGGGGCCACCATTCAAGAGGGCGACCACTCAAGATGGTGGCCACCATTCAAGAGGGCGACCACTCAAGTTGGGGGCCACCATTCAAGAGGGCGACCACTCAAGATGGTGGCCACCATTCAAGAGGGCGACCACTCAAGTTGGGGGCCACCATTCAAGAGGGCGACCACTCAAGATGGTGGCCACCATTCAAGAGGGCGACCACTCAAGTTGGGGGCCACCATTCAAGAGGGCGACCACTCAAGATGGTGGCCACCATTCAAGAGGGCGACCACTCAAGTTGGGGGCCACCATTCAAGAGGGCGACCACTCAAGATGGTGGCCACCATTCAAGAGGGCGACCACTCAAGTTGGGGGCCACCATTCAAGAGGGCGACCACTCAAGATGGTGGCCACCATTCAAGAGGGCGACCACTCAAGTTGGGGGCCACCATTCAAGAGGGCGACCACTCAAGATGGTGGCCACCATTCAAGAGGGCGACCACTCAAGTTGGGGGCCACCATTCAAGAGGGCGACCACTCAAGATGGTGGCCACCATTCAAGAGGGCGACCACTCAAGTTGGGGGCCACCATTCAAGAGGGCGACCACTCAAGATGGTGGCCACCATTCAAGAGGGCGACCACTCAAGTTGGGGGCCACCATTCAAGAGGGCGACCACTCAAGATGGAGGCCACCATTCCAGATGGTGACCACTCAAGATGGTGCTGAGCTGCGAGGCAATGCTAAATACTAGACTCCCCAGTCTCCTTCATCCTAAGTCCCAACTTCTAGAAACACCCAGTATCATGCGCAAGATGCCCTCTGCCAAGCATTTGAGAGAGGCTGTGTCATAGCCCCTCTCTGCGAATCCCTTGTGAATGGCTTAGGACACTCCCACGACCTCTCATGGGTGTGCGAGGAACAAGATGACCGTCGCCTGTCATAGAGGCGCTGTAGGACAATGGCGGATGAGATGGTGTACAGGCCACAGAGGAGGTTGTAACTTATGACGTGTGTGGATTCTACCCCCCCTTCCCTTCCCGTTTTGAAGAACCCCTCCTGCTCCGGCCCCCTCGCGGTGCTCTCCTTTCTAAGCTGCACCCCTTTTGAACAGGTTTTCATATCGATGTATTTGGCCAAGCAGTAATGTCGTCCGTTCATAAATAAACCGAAGAGCTCTATATTTCAAAGGTGTGTTCCTCATTGTCTGGCAGGGAAGGTTCAAGTCACTCTTGATTGACAGTAGGGGGAGGAAGATGGAAATCGGCCCCAGTGACGTTACTCCGGATTTACACCGGGCCCCCTTTTGAACAGGTTTTCATATCGATGTATTTGGCCAAGCAGTAATGTCGTCCGTTCATAAATAAACCGAAGAGCTCTATATTTCAAAGGTGTGTTCCTCATTGTCTGGCAGGGAAGGTTCAAGTCACTCTTGATTGACAGTAGGGGGAGGAAGATGGAAATCGGCCCCAGTGACGTTACTCCGGATTTACACCGGGC